TATATATATATATATATATATATATATATGCTTTTGCACCCAAGAATGTGTGAACAATGTATGCACAGCAGCCAAGTTTCAAAAAAGCCTATGCATGTAAGCAAATTATTCTCATGTACACAAAATGGGGACTTTCCTGATTTTACCTTACCAGCAATATCTTATCAGCCTGCTGGAGTGTTGCTCCAATGGGCCGCTTGACATTTCAGGCCATTCAGGCCCTAAACACGTTGTCTACAATTCTTCCCATCTAGAGTGTGGAACATAGGTATACAAATCACAGATGAACAATTGCTTGCATTTAGATATTGAAGCAGATATATATTGCTGAAAGAAGTAGATAGACTATCTATATTAGGCCACAATGGTACTATCAAAGCAGGACCTCCATATAAGCAGGAGGAACCCCAGTGGTAGCAGGATTAGCGTACCACATTCTAAAGAAGCAAAGTGTTACTTGTTCAGCATATGAGACATTAAGATATAGATTAATTTGTTCACTTCTCTGCCTATGTCTCCTCTCTCCTTCCCACAGGTAGACGTAGGCGTTCTCCGCTTTGTATCTGCCATTGGGACTCAAGGAGCCATCTCAAAAGAAACTAAAATAATGTATTTTTTGAAAACATATCGAGTGGATATCAGTTCCAATGGAGAAGACTGGATATCCATTAAAGATGGAAACAATAAACCTTTGGTAATATTTTTCATCTGTATGACGCTCTTGACTATTTATGGATTTATACATTTCTGTACTTAGTTACAGTTTTCAATGCCTTAAACAAAACACTAGGTGCTCGGAGGATCAATCATACTTATCCCTGTTAGTCATTTTACTCATTAGCCAAAAGCAATGAGAAAACAAAATAAGTCTCAAGAGACAATTTCTAAAACATCTAAATAAGTCTTATAGTTTTTCTCCAATCATTTATGTTTTTTTCTTGCTATTGCTATATCATTCATTGGTAGATTATAGGCATAAGAATGACAGAATAATTCTATAGTAAAATACTTCATTGCTGCAGCATGAAAAACAAGAAGATTAAATCGCCAAAATAAAACACTTTTAAACCCTTTAATTTTAATAGTTGATATTTAAATGCTTTCCTAACTGATGTCTCAGGGAGTTAAACATCCTGGATTATGTCTATTTTTTTTTTTTTTAGATTTCCAGATTTTGTTTCTCAAAAATATCATTTCCGTTGGACTGTAGATGGTGAAAAATCCATGCTGTAAAACAATATATGATATAGTCAGTAAACATTTGAAGCATGAACAAAACAATCATATGTGTTTCCCAGTTAATTGTGGCTCCTTAATATGAAGAGATTGAAGAAGTCTACAGTATGGCCCCAATTCAAAGTCATCATTTTCACCAAATTAGGGTCATGTAATTATTTTTGAGGTGCCTGAGTTTTATGCTGGTGCTTGCATGTTGTTTTCTATTTTATGAACAAGTAGCTATCTTTTAAAAATTAGAGAAAAAGAAATGCAGCACTGGAAGATTGGATCAGATGGTTATCTTTTCCTCGGTTTGATATAGGTACCATAATGTTTAGCAAGGTTTGTCAGTCAAAACCTCATATGCTTTCCCCAAATATCCCTTATTTATGTTTGGAAAATTCTTAAAAGTCTTACACAAACCAACCTTTGTACTTCTGCTGCACTTCCTTTATCATGGATAACAGATAACCACTTGGCTGTTTCATCCTGTTTGTCTGAAAGGCAGCCAAACTTTACCACAGGCCTTGGCCTAACTTTCCTGTGCAATTAATATTAATAAGTTAAACAGATGGTTGGTACTAAATACAGTTAATGTTTGCAAGAGATTCCTGCTGATCTTCCATCGCTACTTCCTTCCCATTAAAAAACAGAGAAAGAGCAATTTTTAGCAAGACTATTAAGAGGGGAAGGGGGAGATCAGGCACAAAATAAAGCAATAATGTTTTAATCGTCCCAAAATGGAAACAGAAATATTTCTAGCTGTCCAGCCCCAAGAAAGTAGAAACAATTGAACAATTAAAACCCATTTGTAATGCGTAAACAGCAGCTAAAATCAATAATACAACTGATTGCATTTCACCTACTGCACGGTGTGGTTAAATGCACAGGTTTAAATGACATGGCCAACCTCCTTTATTATTATTCTGCTCTGAAGAAAATACAAAGCAGGAAAGCTGGGGAAAGGTTCAAGAAATTACTGCCCATAAATGGAAAAATGCCTTATATCAGGAAATTGGGAGTTTGCATTGTCTAATGAAAAAGGAAATTAGTCACCTTCCTTGAACTCAGTCAATGAAGAATTTGACTTTCTTATAGGTGTATTCATGTCTGGGCTGTAAAAATCCAGACAACAGCAAAGAGTTTTCTGTATCTCTTTGCTTCCATCTAGTAGTCATCTGGATTTTTACAGTCTAAATATAGTTTGGCTATTATAATAGAACTTTCTTAACAGACCAGAACAGATGTTATCAGTCTTTGAATGGCTTTCTTGATTGTCTAGTTTCGTGAAAAAAAACAAATATTAAGAAGTAGAGAGACATAGAATAGAATTAATATTTCGATTATACTATAAATTGGAATTATCCATAAGAAAACAAGACATCTTCACCTTCAATGAGTCAAAAACTGTGTCCTTAGTAGTAGACATCTTAATCTGAGTCTTATTGTATAGTTCAATGTGGTTTAACTTCATTTAAGTAAAAAATGTCAATTTTCAATTACCACATGGAACTGCAGGAATTCAGTATCCTATATTTACTTTGGATAGTCCTTTTCTTCTGTGGGGTATATGTTCATCTTTGAGTTTATAATTATTACTTTTATCATTAATAAAAATTATTTCTATTTTTGCAATATGAGTAATATATTATTTACTTATTTAAACACATTTCATAAGTGTATTTGAGAGTTCTAAATGTTTTCTCTTTCCATAGCTATTCATGGGGAACACCAACCCAACTGAGGTTGTTTATAGATCTTTTCCCAAGCCAGTCCTGACACGTTTTGTTCGAATCAAGCCTGTAAACTGGGAAACTGGGATATCACTGAGATTTGAAATTTATGGCTGTAAAATTACTGGTAAGGTCTATGAAGAGTTTATTTTCTTCTCTTGTTTTAAAAGGAGCATTACGTATTTCCAGGACTGCAGATAATTTCTGGTATCGTAAAAAGGCAGCAAATCATTAGTGTGATTTTCTATTTCATATGTCCAAATAAGTAGTCGTCTTTGAGTTCCAGCCACCTTAAAATGTTAGCGTGCTTGTTAATTAGCACTATGAAGATTTTTAAAACATAACTGTATATGTATAATGTACAGATATTCATAGAGTATTTTACAAGGGTGTGGACTATATAATGGCCCTGTTTAATATAAGTTGTGTAGTGAGAGCAGATTGGTTCAGTGGTTAAGGCACCAGGCTAGAAACCAGGAGACTGTGAGTTCTAGTCCCAATTAGGCATGAAACCAGCTGGGTGACCTTGGGCCAGTCACACCCTCTCAGCCCTAGGAAGGAGGCAATGGCAAACCACTTCCAAAACCTTGCCAAGAAAATTGCAGGGACTTGTCCAGGCAGTCACCAGGAGTTAACGCTGACTCGAAGGATGTCAGGCCCAGCCCAAGAACAATGATGAGGCAGTGCAGTCCAGCGTAGTTCCTTTATTTGCTTACACCCTAAAGACAGAATCTCATCAGACTGAATCTATGCTAAAGCAACTAGTGGATATACCCTGTGAGACTCTAGGGGGGACTAGCCTAAGCCTCTTCTTCTTCTCACGGTCTTGCTGCGGGCTGAGAAGGCACTGTAATGGATTACATAGATTTCATTGTAATCCTGTACCCTCTCCTGGAATGCACTCCCTCCCTCCTGATAGCCTTGATCTTCCATTCCAGTATCTTCCTCGCACATGCCTTCCATTACAAAGGTACATATACACACATAGAGTGAATAAGGCTAGCATATCTGGGCTGCAAAAACTGAGCAGCCACTAGAGGGAGTAAATAGCCAAAAAAACCTAACTCTGCTGCCATCTAGGGTTCTTCTGAATTTGTGCAGATTAGAGATATATATATATACATACATGCAACCCTAGTATTAGTTTAGCTTCTTATGAAATCTATGTAATCCATTACAATAATGCATTACATGAAGGTCAGTTCATGAGTAGCCCATGACACCAAACACTAACTTTGTGAATTAGGAAATGCAGACATTAAAATAATGTATACATCTGTACACACATGAACAATGTAGAGCCCACTCCAGCAACTCAATGTTTAGCCATTAGCATAAGGAGAAAGTTAATATTAAACAGAACTCTTCATTTACCCTGTCTTGGATAGGAATAGGGTAAGTAATTTAGTGACTGATTTCTTCCCAAATCAAACAGTTCAAGGCTATCAAGACAATGCATACAGAAGATTAATAAAAATTGTTAGAAATGTTTGCGCTAGTCCACCAATCATCTAGAGCCCTTCTTCTTGTAAGATCTTCCCGTTCAGTTATATGGACAAAAAGAAACAAAGAAGATTCTCTTGCATTTGGATGGCCATACATTCCCTTGTGTCTGAGTGAATGCTGAAATGTAGGCGTTTTACTTGCCATGTCATCCATTATAATGATATGTGCATTCACATTGCATTATTCAGATAAAGAGCATATTGGAACAAGGAACAGGCACACAGATTAATTAAAAGAAAAATTTACTAGGAGGTTAATTCTGTCTTTCTAACTAACATAAAATCTATTAAACCAAGCTATTTCATTAATCAGATTAATTGCATATTTCAAAACTGTTGCAAGCATTTTTCCAGTGTTTCTGTCATTCCAAAATAAACAGCATTGATTAGAAAGGAAAATAACAGGAAGGGATGGATGGATGGATGAATATGCATTCATGGCTAGAGGTGACCTAACCTATTTTTATCAAACAATATAATCAAAAATTTAACACAATGCAGTTAGCTGGGAAAAACTCAAAGTAGGAAAAATCCCCATATCAAATATCTTTATTAAAACTGAGGAATTCTACCTTCCAATTTCCTGAAAATAGTCTACCAACTAAAGAAACTTCCATTCTCCCCCCCCCCGCCTTTCGGCATTTTCAGAATGCTTTGGGATTACTTTTAAATTTGTTCTGGTGGTAGTTTTAAGTCGACATCATCATTATAAATTGGCTGAAGATTTTATTGCTGTTGTTTTATCAGTACCATTGTTTCTGCTACACACTTCTCCATTACTCTGTAGCCCTTTTGCCTGCTCTTGGCTTACAATCCGTACCTTCCCTTATTTTTTCCATCAAATTGAATGAGAGTGATTGAAAAATGTAGAAGAATGCTTTGACTTAGTCCAAATCAGTCAAGAAAAGAGTAGCTAAGCCTACTGACCTAAGCCACTGACCTGTTACACAAGATTCTTGAAAGTGTTTTTATTAGCTATTCATTCTGTTTTAATTCACTCAATAATACGCTGCTCTGCAGATAACAGTTACAAAGCTGATAAAAAGGATGATTAAAAACATTAAACACATGAGCAGTAAAACTATTAGAAGTGCTGTGCATGCGAGTGTGTTTAGGGATGTATATACACAACCACACGTGTACTTTCTTTTTACTTTTGTTTAGATTATCCTTGCTCTGGGATGTTGGGTATGGTGTCTGGACTCATCACTGACTCTCAGATTACAGCATCAAATGAATTGGATCGGAACTGGATTCCAGAAAACGTTCGTCTTATAACAAGCCGTGTAGGGTGGGCACTGCCACCCCCCGTTGGTCACACATATACAAAAGAATGGCTTCAGATAGACCTTGGTGAAGAAAAGGTAGTCCGGGGCATAATTGTCCAGGGAGGTAAACACAGAGAAAACAAGGTCTTCATGAGAAAATTTAAGATTGAATACAGCTACAATGGATCAGACTGGAAATGGATTATGGATGCCAGCAGAAAGAAGGCCAAGGTAAATTTGTAATCATGCGTGGTGAAGAGCACACTAAGCTATTTACCTCCAGGATGCATGATCTGCATGCTGAAGGCACAATTCTGGTATCTCCAGTTAGAAATAGCAAGTGATCTGCTAGACCTCTATTTGAAATGCTACAGAGCTGCTGCAGGTAATGTAGAAAATATTGTTTAAATGAAAAGTCTAATTTAGGATAAGGTAGCTTATACCTAGCAAATTTCGATGCATGAACTAAACAGCAACCTAGCTGTTGCCCTGTCCTTCAGCTAAACAGAAAAATGATTAATTCAAATGCTTTTATCTTAACTCATATGAAGATAAAGACCCCATTGAGTCAAGCTTAATTTTTGGCAGCCATAAGGATGGTTTTTTTTTTACTTTGTAATGTGGTCTACAGCATTGAGACCATTTGGTGGTCTCCCATCTAAGTGCTAACCCAGTCTGATCTCTCTTAGCTGTCATGCACTGGGTCAGTGTGATATATCTATAGCTCATTGGTGGAGTACTTTCTATACATGCAAAATATCCCAGGTTCAATCTCTTTGTCTTCAGAGGGAGCTGAAAAAATTCCTGTTGAGCCAGAGCCAGGCAACATCACAAGCACTGGACTGTTCGGGCACAATAGAAAGCAGCTTGCTAAATTCCAGATCCTTGGTCTGTTCTAAAATTGTTTCTATTTCTTAATTTCTGTAGGAAGAAAGGGAAACATGGATCTATTTTCAAATGGCCTTGATCCTGAAAGTAAAGGGCTCATCATAAAGTATGAAAAACAAATACATCCAACAATGAGATCTAACCAATTGTTTTTTTGTTAAAAATGCAGGTTGTATTGACATAGTCCTCTAAATGTAGCAGAACAAAATAGCACTATATGTTTTTGTTGTGATGTACCTTGGGCTATTTGGTCTTCTGGTATGAGATGCAGAGCATTTGCTCTCACTGTCAAAACTAGCAGTCTTGACAAAATGAATTCTGGCAGACGTATTATGTCCATTCAGAGTCTTCGTTTTTTAGAAAAGCGAGCTTTCAAAATTAGTGCTTTTTTTTAACAAAAAAGTTTTATAACATGCATAATCCTAGTAAATATTCAGAATACTTAAAAATGTTCCTTCTATGGGGAAATTGGATAAAATCATGGGATATTAGAAAGGTGGCGAATTTAGAACAGGACTTAGGTGTTTTTAAAATATTAATTAAGTTTTGCGGTATGTAATGCTAACCACACTGATTAACAGAATAAGTTGAAAGCAAATCTTTTTCTTAAAATGTAACAGAGTTTACTCAGTACATTCTTAGATTGAAAGCACCATGTGATAGGTTTTTACCCATTCATATTGCTGCAGTAATATGTACTGCTACATTTATTTAATGATTTTTGCCCTTTTTTTTCTTTGTACAACATATTCAAAACCATCATCAGACACACAAAACACTGTCCATAGGGTGATTAGGGTGGATTTTAAATGCCCTCTGAAGGAATCCAAAAATGAAGCCATACTATGGGCACCTCATCCATTCCAGCTGTTACAGAAACATGACTACAAATATTGGGGAAAGTGTCTAACTGAAAAATTAACATGATGTGATTTCACTATCACACCTTGCAGGAGATTCTTAAATGTAGGAAGAAAGGTAGCGTTGCACCCAAAAGGCTTCCCTTCATAGCAACTCTGCATACAACATAACCTAAAAACTAGCAGGAGGACTAGCAAAGTATTATGTTTCTCTTTTTTGAGGAGTAAGGTTGAGGGAACGTATGCAACTGACATTGTGTTGGATTTTTTTTTTTTTACACTTTCCTATCCATTGGCAGGTGGACCACTTCTTGACTCAATATGTTCCTTCCTTGTTCCCAGCCTTTTGATGTTGCAGAAATAAAGATGATCTCAGTTTAGCTTTCAGCTCATTTGGAAATGGAAACAGTGATGATGAGAAAGTGCTCTGTTCCTCCAGGAAGGCATCCCATCCTGTACTTCTACAGACTAGGAAGGATAGAGCTCCTGATGTTGAGCATAGCAAAGGGTAAACCAGATGTGACTTAGATAATATCAGTCATATCTGCAATTATAACCATATTAAATAAGAGATATTGGTAAGGAAATGGGAAAGCAATTTTCCTTGGGAATATCTCCTGTAATGATTAAAGGTTTAACCTTTCCCTTCCTAGCTGAAATCCCAACAAAATCACCTCATGATTTTTTGCGTTTTTGATGCCAGTTAGAGAAGTTTTGTTTCTTTTCTTAAAAGCCAGATTTGGTTGGTCACCACCTTATTAAAGTACCATCTGATTTATAGATTGTATTGGAGATGTTTCCCACGATCTTCTGAAAAAATCATAGAGAACAGTGGGACCCAGCTATCAGATATAACATATTCATCTAAGAAAGGGCAGTCATTCCTATCAAACTGTTTGTACTGATTCTTTGTTTTCAGCCCTGATCTGGTGCAAAGATACATAAAAGTAAGAGCACACACGGACAGTTGCTTTCTGTCATTTCAGCCAGAAGCACACGATGAGAACCAACAGTGAAAGCAATAATTTATGTATAATTATGACCTTGATGCATTCCAGAGCTTCCTTTCTCTAGAATAGCTTCCACCACCCAAATAGCAAGCTGCTGTTAAATTTCAAAAGCAGACAGACTCATCCAGAATGCTTCAAAGAATATGCAATCCTAATCTGCTGCTTCTGTCCTTTTTCCTGCTTAATTATGATACTTCCCACCATTGGAGACATCCTGCTGGATTTTAATGTGTATGGCCAAATGGTGAATGGAAAAAGATCTCAATAACTGAATTCCTTAAGAGACATTTCATCAGGAGAGACCCCAATGAAGTGTGTGCTACTCCTGTAACAAAAATAGTGATTAATCTTCACAGCCCCATGCTACTTAAATATATAATCTAGCTTCTCTATTTAGGACCAGCTGGGTAGGGATTATATGAATTTCAGGTCCCACACATCTGACATCTGAAGGACACCTGGTTTGAAGAAAGCTGCTCTGGATGTGTTATAGTTAGCTTGTTTTCCCCCAATTTCCTTTTTGTTCTCTCTGTGGATTTGAATCTGGTTTTACTTTCTGACCCTTGCTATTCATTTGGTCATTTATTTCTCCTAGTACTATTATTGGTACAAATGACTCCTCCATTCTGTCTCTGATAACCTGGAACCACTATCTGTAATCAGATTCACTATTTTGGACTCTCTCAAGGACCTATTTTGTTTTGTGGATGGGCATAATCTAAATTATCTTCAAAAGGTCCTAGTTTCTTAGCATTTCCAGTTAAACGGGAATTCAAATAGAAGAATTGAAACTGTAAAATTTATCTGAAGTGGTAAATGAAGTTCAGCTCCCATCAGCCTTAACATGACCAGTGTCATGAATCTATGGAAGTTACAGTCCAAAGGATTTGGATGAGACCAGGTATTCTTAGGGAATGAATGATCTGATGTACTATTAAAAAAAATGTTTTCCTGTTCGAAAAAGCAAATCCTGTTGTTTTTCTGCCATGATCCAATCAGGCTGGTAGTCAGTGAAATCATATCTGAAATGAATGATGTATTTGAATGAACAGTCATAATTAAATCATGGATAGGTTTAGACTACACAATGATTCAGGATAATTAGGATTCAAGGGTCCATTAAATTTCTATTGAATTCTATGCCCGTGTGTCAGTACATCGTTCTGAAACCTTTCATAGAAAAGTTTTCATTGTTATATATTACATTATATATTCATTATATATTCATTGTTATATATATATTAAGGATGGATTCCATAGTTACAAGGGCTGGTGCCTACCTTGAAAATAGCCTTCCTTTTTGTAGAATCAATCAATTAATTAATTAATTAATTAATTTTTATTCACATCACTCCTTTTGTTAGGAGCTCAAGGTAACACAGAGAACTCCTTTCTCTTATTTTTCCTCACAACTGTCCACCTGTGGGAGAGGTTAGGTTGACTGGTGCAAAGTCACCCAGTGTAATGGGAAGAAGGAATAACCTTGAGGAACAGGAAGAGCCACTACCAAAACAATGGCCAAATGAAAGAAATCTGAGTCTGGTCCAGAACTGTAATCTGAGAAAGCATCTCAGACAAGACCCTCCCTAGTTCTCATGAAGATAAAGGGAGGGAGGGAGGAAGCACATTCACACTTGCAATATTCTGTTACTGTAACCTTAAAATAAAAGTAATATTAGCATGCACGACTTTGATTTCCTAGTCTGGTCTACTTTGAAGGCCTGCATCCAGTGAGCTTCTGTGGGTAAGGGTAAACTGGAACTTGTATCTCCCCACTCCTTGTCAAGCCCTTCACCACTATATCACACCTTTCTCATGGAACAGAGTGTGTGCTTTTATGATACTTGAAATTTGAATTTCACTATAAAATAATTGATGGTAACTACAATTTTTGGATATAGTTATACCCTCCAAATTCTCTCCCATTAGATGTATTTACTGAATGCTTTCAATATACCAATCACTTCTCTTTTTTAGATTTGAGCCTCTAAAGCAGGAGACCCAAGTATACATTTGAGCACAATAGGATTTACTTCTGGATAAATACACATAGGAAAATGCTACCTACTGTAATTCAAGAACACACATCCTGTATGCATGCCTATAGAGTTCATAAGTAGAAAATATATTGATATGTTGTTATAAAGCATATGATTTATACCCTATAAATACCAGGTGTAGAACACTGAAGAGACAAATACATGTATGAATGAACCATTCTTTAGAACAGATTTTGGCATCCATGAACTCCAAGTAGGTTTGATGAATAGCACAATCATTAATTAATGTGTTCCTTACATTCACAGGAAGGAAGGCAGACAAAGAATAGTCAGGTGCCCCAAATTAGACCTAAATACTAGTGCAAGTGAAGTTAAAAAAAAAAGGGGGGGTGAGTAAACCCTTCAACTTCTGAGACATTCCTTTGAAGCTCAAGTAACTAGCCTCTTCCACTTCTACATCATTTTGATTCCCAAGGAGGTTATTTTTTCCAAGGAGGTCACTCTGCAATCTTGCATTCTTCTGCTATAGATTCTGCAGTGGCTGCATTATTGTGGGGTCAAAGGCTTTGAAGTCAGATTAGGATCAAGGTCTGGAGCTTCAGGAACTGCAAATGTGGAAGAGATCACATTTTCCCCAATCACTGGTCCACTCAGGCAAAACCACCCCAGCCTCAATATGCTGTTTGATGACTCAAAGCAGTATATATTTTTCATGTATTTATATTTGGGGGGAAGAATGAAATAGTTTTTCTGCTATGGATACACAGTTCAGTCCACTCATTTATGTGCTTACTATAAAAAAAAAATCACTTGCATTGTCCTCCATGTCTCACCAAATAACACTGGTTCCTATTTGGAAATTAATTTCCAAGCTGAGAAAGAAAGTATCCTCAAAAAAAAATTAGCATAGTGAAGAAGCTAGTCAATGTATAGAACAGAATTATAAAGTACAGTGATACCTCGGGATACGAACGCCTCTGCTTGCGAATTTTTCGGGTTACGACCAGCTCTGAAATTGCCTCGGGTTGCGACCAAATTCGGGCGGAGGGCGGAACGGATTAACCGGATTTACATTGAACCCTATGGGGAAATTTTCCTCGGGGTGCGACCAAATTCAGAGGGCGGAACGGATTAACCAGATTTACATTGAACCCTAAATTGCCTCGGGTTGCGACCAAATTCGGGCGGAGGGCGGAACGGATTAACCGGATTTACATTGAACCCTATGGGGAAATTTTCCTCGGGGTGCGACCAAATTCAGAGGGCGGAACGGATTAACCAGATTTACATTGAACCCTAAATTGCCTCGGGTTGCGACCAAATTCGGGCGGAGGGCGGAACGGATTAACCGGATTTACATTGAACCCTATGGGGAAATTTGCCTCGGGGTGCGACCAAATTCAGAGGGCGAAACGGATTAACCAGATTTACATTGAACCCTATGGGGAAATTTCCTTCGGGTTACGACCAACTCGGGATACGCCCAGAGTCACGGAACGGATTAAGTTCGTATCCCGAGGTACCACTGTAAATGCATAATTTAGTATATACATGTAAATCAGAGATATTGGGTGAAGATTCTCTATGCTTTGGCTACTGTCAGAAACATACTACATTTAGTTGAAGTGTTCCTGTCAATAGTCCTCACTTGAAGCAATTTTCCCTTGGAAGCATTTCTCAGTGGTTTCCATTGAGCTAACATGAAAAATAAATCAAGCTTGAGTCATAGCAAACCTAGTAAGAGGTCAGAAGAATGAAGTAAGTTGAATATGGTTAATTTCCAAGTAATGACATTTTCACAAAAAATAATTTGAATAATGTAGTAGTTTTATTCTCGCCTTTTCAGTGACAGCATACACAAAATATATTTTGCGTGAGTTCAAAAATTCTTTATTATCCATCATCATCTTCTATTGTAGGAAAAAGTATGGATCCACCACTTGATTGGTTTTAAATAGCTATGTTTCCAGGGGCAGATTGTCACTTAAAATTAAAAAGACTGGGTTTCAGAATAATTAAGTTCTGGTTGAGATTTGTGTTATTAATGCAAAGAAAGTTAATGAGGTCCAAATCAAATATTCCTCCAGTTGACTGGTTTTCCAAGCACCGTCACAAATATCTGTACGCATATTAACAAATAGTTTATCTTTCTTAGAGTTAGTTTTATGGACATCTGTTATCTTACAGCACCTATTGTTTCTAAAGTTTAATTTGCACACTTGCAATATAACTGTAAGCCTCTGGGTAATTGAAGGGTTTGAGACTTGGAAGTTTCTCTCTTGAAATTTCCCTTGTAACTACATGAACAGTGACAGACATTTAGAAGAAACGCTTCCCTGAAGACATCCATGTAAATTCCAATGTAAGCCTCATTTAAAAGATATTCCATTAAAACATTTGGCTTCCCTACTGGCCTGATGGATAGATTTCTGGAAAACAAGACATCCTGCTTCTCAAAGACTCTTCACTATCTTTTCTTTCTTTGATTTTCTAAACAAATGAGCCATTTTGATAGAACAGTCAGAACTGTGATTACCGTTCAACCACTTAAGCTGCTAAACAAATGAAAAAAAAACTGCCAGCTGGCTAAAAATGAACTTACTGTATTGTTGTGATTGTTAAGCAGCACAATTTTGTATGTATGCTCTGCAGATTTTTGAAGGTAACACCAACTATGATACTCCTGAACTTCGCACTTTTGACCCTTTGACAACCAGATTCATCCGTGTTTACCCAGAAAGAGCCACCCATGCTGGGTTGGGACTAAGATTGGAACTGCTCGGCTGTGAAATTGAAGGTAACTGCACAATGTATGATAAATCTGTTTCATTCATTACTTTCCTGTGGTATTGGTCTATTGATCCTCCATTAGCTTTTAATATTTAGTGTAATTTTTTTATTATGCTTTTCCTATCCTTATCTAGCATTTTAGAGTTTTTGTTTGATGCTAGCAAAGCTCAACAAATTATGCAGGAGTATATGTAAAGATCTTTCCTCCTCCTCCTCCTCCTCCTCCTCCTCCTCCTGATTGAAGAAGCCAACTGTTTATATATTTATGTTTGACAAAATGAGAAATGGAGACATCAATAAACGAAGGACTCATTTCAATACAATTAATCCCTTTAATTATAACCTCCTATATATTTAAATTAAGGTTTTCTTAAAATCAGACCCTTTTTTCAGCCATAGAATTAATACATTTTATTACATCTATGGAATAGAGACATGCAGATTTTCCTGCAAAGCAAAGTGAAGTGGAAATTTTTGGACCAAAATTTTCTAAAGCATATGTGAAATTCAAAGGTGGGGCTAATACCCCGCCATACACACACACACACACACACAAAACCTTTCCCTTGCACAACCCTGACCAGGTCTGATCTACATATGTAATCAAAATGAAGAACATTGAGATCAGCCTTCTCCAAAGAGTTGCCCACTTTGACTAAGAAAGATGAGCACTATTGTTCAGCATATCTAGAGATCTAGATTTGGCAGGGCTAATGTAGAGGGATAAGCAGCTTGTTCATGTGAGCTATAACTGATCTGCTCCATGTACAGGTAGGTTTCTCCCTGTTTTTCACATGAAGCCCCTGCTCCTGTAATGATTTCCACATTCATTTAATTGGCAGTACAACATCATTTCAATGAGGAATACCAAAAAAAAAAAAAACCTCAAACAAAACCTTCCTAAAGTAATGGAGAATGTGGCCCCATGAGGAAAGCTCTGCAGATATATAGTAACTTCCTCTCCAGGTTGTCTTATCTACAGAATCTGTAGATACTAATACAACTTTGAAATCTGTCCACTTGTATTAATGTGGCTTAAAATGACAATCTATCAGTAAGGATCAGGAACAGTGACTTTGGATTTGATTTGCATCTTTTCCTATTGTTGGAGTTTTGATCAAGTATGGATCTTGAAATAACATTCCACACTTGATAGAATCATACTATTGTATACTATTACCCTTTATACTTTGGTAAGAATAAGCCATAAGCCATAATCTTTTCTTCCATGTGTTAGGCTGTGAGGAACAAAAGCATTGTGAAATTAAAGATCTTTAATTTCACAAAAGAAATTATCCCTCTTCCTCTTCTGATTTCCTGTCCTTTGCCTTCCCATTAACAGGGTAACAATTGTCCAAGCTGAAATCTAGGGAGCTAAAAAAGGAAATTCAGTAAAAGCATCATTTTGGTTATTAATTCTTTTTAAATAATTCTTAGCATTTTAATCTCAAGTCTTCTCCAATCTGATACCTCCCTGTGTATTGGGGCTGCAGTTCTCATTATTCCCAGCTAATGTGTGTGCATTCTAACATATTAAAAAACTGCCTTTGAGTATATCTTAACTGAATCAAGCTGGGATTTTTGTTTCAGTTCCTACTTCTGCCCCAACCACAGCTGATACCAACCCTGTGGATGAGTGTGATGATGATCAAGCCAACTGCTACAGTGGAACAGGTGATGACTTCCATTTGGCAGGTGCAGAAACCATCCACATTCCATTGCAACTCTGTTCTCATTCAAATCATTTTCCCAATGCCATACTTGTTTTATCTTTATCACTCATTAAAAAAATCATGACATATGCATGCAAAATCAGCAACAAGGTGTTGAACTTAACATTCATAGGTTAAGTATATGTGTTCTCATGTATCTGTAAATTGGAGTGCTTTAAGTGAATATATTTGTCTGCCTTTTAAATATTTTCATTAAGTAATTTGATTTAAATCTGCTTTATTAGATATGAGTCCTGAGTATGCATCAGTAACAAATACTTCATTTGAGGAAGAAATGTGGGCAACAATATGTTGGCTTACAAGGTAGTCTCTAAATGAGAAACCTTAGCTTGCATAGAATAGTGTGAGCATGCTTGGGCTATGCCCAAAATATGCCAAAATTGACCAGTACTGTTACTAGCAGGAGAGGCATCTGAGTGTGACTAGACCTGGTAACCTAGTCTAAGCCTTCTTTATATTACTAAAAAGCATGATGTGAAAACCTTGAGTGACAAAGCCATGATGGACAGTTAAGTTCAATATCTATGGGCCAAGCTGTGAAACTAGGAAGATTAGTGAAGGTTGCAAGGAACTGATGGTACAGGTTTAATTATGAATGAAAGGAATAAAATGTATGTTAGAAAATATGAATTGGTATTATTTGGGTTGTTCTGGATGCCAGTGAATATTGATAATGGAAGAATCAAGATGGGGGGGGGGGAAGAATTATGCAACATTCTGGGAATGAGAGCCAAAGGATAAACTATTCTGTTAGACAACTTTAACAGATCGATAGGAACAAGATAAGAGAGTACAGAAAAAACAATTGGGCTACAGTATTTGGAGACCCAAGAATAAATAAAAATGGTGACTATGTGGTAAATATCTGCATAGAAAAAAATTCTTTGTTTCAAACATATGGTTTAAACATAAGTCTAGTCATACATATATATGGCAAAGGAACAGACATAAATCTAAAAAACACAAAGTATGAATATGGAAGCTTGGTGGAATGATGTAGTGAAAGAGGCTATGGATGAGGGGGGAAATGCTTATAATTGCTGCAAAATAGATGAGAGAAATATATTGTATAATGTGTATAGACAAGAAAAGATACAGTAGTTGCAAAAATGTAGGCAAAGAACAAGGACATATTAAGATTAGACAAAGGAGAGAAAATGCAGAGATTTTACAAAAATAAAAATTTTGTTGGAAATGAATGAGGAGGCCAAGCAAAGGAGCCTCTAGTAGAGTGAAAAGACTTAAAATTAAAGTGATAAATTGTTTGGAATGAAAGTGAAGTGAGAGATTGCTGGAAGGAGTATTTTAGGGATTTGTATGGAACATTGAATACTAGTGTGTCAAAGAGTAGAACTGAAATTAATGCTAAAATGTTAATGTCCAACAAAAAAAACTAGGACAAGTTACTCATAGATGAAGTAGTGATGAACTTTTAGGCTACACCTGTACATTGTACTCATAGATGAGTTGAAGATGCTAGAAAAAGGTAGAGCAAATGTTGATAGTATAACTGAAGAACTGTTAATGCATGGAGGTTGTTTGCTTATGGAGTGGCTGGTTACTTGCATGTGTGAAGAGTGTGGCTTCATTGCATATTGCAGTGAGGAATATGTATCTGAAAATTAATGTATCAAAGACCAAGGTGGATGTATTTGACAGAGAAAACTGAGTGAACAATTACAACTTATACATACGAGAAACTTATGAGAAACTAGTGAAATAGTTGAATTTATGTACCTTAGCAGAACATTTACCAAAGATGAAAAAATATATGCATATATATGTGTGTAATTTTGTACCATTTTATTTCAAAGGAAGTTTATTAATCAAGAACAATAGATTACCAATAAATTGTAAAATACATGTTAACCTAAAGTACTACAACTTTAGCCCTAATGAAAATCCTGGGATTTATTGTTTAAAGCCCAGTATGTAAATAGCAAGAGAGAGAGAGATTTTCCTCCCTCCTGAAACAACCTTTTAATACAGAAGTATGCTAATCACTTGTAATTTAACTGTCTTAGCTGGATTGCTAAGTAGGCTAATGCAAGCTTGGCTGAAATCCAGTTTATTTATAACCTGGGGTAGATGTCTTCTAAACCCCATTTAGTAAAGACATCACAATTGGGGGAGGGAAAGGGGGAGAAATATTTTTCCTTTTCATTATTATTTTGCCTCAACTGGAACTCAGTGTCTGTTCTACTTCAGAGATGCATTTAAGTCTGTATAGCACATCTAAGCATTAGCAAATTAAAATAAGTTGCAGAAATCAGAGGCCTAGAAGGGTATCTGTTTCTTCTGTAGGCCACACTTTGGTTTGCTGGTGAAGCTGTGTGGAATTCTCTTATCCCATGGAGATTTATATCTGGTTTGTTAGTTATGGCTTGTCTGTTAGTCAAAGTGATATCCCT